AATAAATAAATAAAAAAATGTTTAAATTAAAATTATAAATGTTCTTAAAAAGTAAAAAAGAAAACTGCTGTGCTTAAAAAAAAGTATTAACATATAGTAGCTTATTCATAAAAACCTGGAAATGTTTCTTGGGCCTCATAAATATAGGCTATTTGTGATCATATTACATATATATAAAAATGTTTTTGAAAAATGTTGTAATAGATGTAGCTTTATGACTTATTTGTATATATTTGAAATCTAAGCATTAACTTTAAATATATGATTTTGATTAACATATGTAATTTAGAAATTAGATCTGCTTACTGCATGTATAGGCTTTGTGGGTTAGAAAAGCAAGTCATTAAACCATACCTGTCAACATTGGGATATAAAAATACGGAATATGCCCTCAACAACTGTTACAAATATGGGGAGGAGATTAGCCTCAAATAATAGAAAAGATAACAGACATTAGAAAATTGAAAATAAAATAAAAGGTTTATCCTATTAAAATCTATTTACTGATCACATGGGTGTTATCGTATGCGTCAAAGGGTTAAAAGTGTGTTAATTTTTCTTACTTAAATTAGTCAGCAATTCCTCCGCGTACCACTAGAAGAAACCCTGCGTATAACTAGTGGTATACGTACCACATTTGAGATCTACTGTCCAAAAGGTCAAACCCCTGAAAAGTTTAGAACCAACCCTGCTCCAACACATTTACCTCTAGGTTTATAACAAGCCTAAGAGACTCATTTAGTTTGGTCAGGTGTGTTCAATTAGGGTTAAAGCTACGACCCAGCAGGAGGAACTGTGTTTGACACCCCTAATATAGATGTTTCATGATATAGCTGTCATGTACACAGTAAGAAAAAAGTGCTTTGACACAAGTGATGAGTGGGCTGTTGTTTTATTGGAAATATTCCTTCCATTTTATGGATTATTTCTGGCTCCACGCTGGAAAATAAATCCTCTTTTAGGGCTCGTCGGTGTCAGGGGGCCAGCGGAGGCCTTGGTTGGATAGACATAAATATGGTATCCCACAAGGCTCTGTAAAGGTTTGTGAATTATCTTTATGAGAAGAACCATCAATGGCTTTGATGGCTCCTCACTGGGGCTCTAAGTACCCGTCTATTGGACTACACCAGATCTCGTGTGCCAGAAATTGCGGAAAATAGATGGAATGGATGATCAAGTCGCTCCGCAGTGATCTCCCTTAAGCAGCATGTGGATGTTTCGTTCTCCCTCGCCCTCCTACAGTATTTATGGGAGCCCTGTGTCTTTCTGGCACTTTAATTGGGAACGAGAGTGGACGGTGGATGAGAAGCGGGCCAAAAGCATGCGATTGCTGTCATGCCAGAGAAGCGGAGCAGCCAGGAAAAGAGGGAGAGATAGAGCGCTAGAGAAAAGAGAGAAAGCATCAAAGCTCTGGGAAGGAGGCCAGGACACTGCTGAGTCTGACACTTCCTCAACCGACGGACTCTTCGCAGTCAGCGCTGTTTTGTTGCCTTGTCACGTAAAAGGCAACGCTATGAGGGCGGAATCTCATTCTCGTTTTTGATTGATTTATTGTTTTCTCCTCAACCCACTCTTGCTTGCTCGCCTTTCTGTTGCCATGTGCCTGCGTGTTTCTTTTCTTGCAGCATTCTCTACAAAAACAACCCAGCGTCGTAAGAGATGTCGATCTGTCTGCGCTCACGCTCCTCTCCTCTCAAAGCATCACGTTTACTTGTAGTCGATGATGAAAGACGATGTGTTCGACTTCAAAATTGTCTGCTGATGGGTCTTCGCTTGCACTGACGCTGTAAATTCTGCTGTCTGACACCGTTGGGTTAAAAAAAAAAAAACATTCTGATCTGACGCCACACAAGTTGTTTTTGATTTTAACTAGATCGTATTGTGCTATTAGGCCTATCTTTCAACCGCTGGTTTGATTTGTGTCCTGAGTTGATCTAAGCTAAAATACATCCATCGTGTATCAGGTTTTAAAGTAAGACTTTGAATTCATCCCACACAATCATTTCGGGTTAGGAACATCAGGATGTGGTCATTAACATAAAGAGGGTTATTATTGCTTTTTGTATCCCACACATCGATTCATTTAATAGCCTACATTCTCATTGATTTTGTCCTAATACATCATTAGTTAGCATGCTGAAAGCATCAGCCGCAAGGCATGAGTTCATTTGATGTTTGTGATTCATGTTCGTAACTGACCCTTAGTGCTTGCTTGTGTTGTGTGTTAATGGTCAGACTGACTGGATTCAGACTCACTGTTTAAGCATCATGTTAGAAACAGCATGAGCATGGGTTTGAGACTTATTTTATTTATATATTTTAAGGGTTCATGCATTCTCTTTAATGAGCTTTCCCTTGCTCAAGTCTTTAAATATGCATATTCCTGAAATTTACTAATTTGTGTTGTGCTTAAACCCTTAGAAAAAGGTGGTATCATAATATAGATGGAGTGGATTAAATATTGTATCCCTGGGAATCAACCCCAGGACCAACTTGTACTAAGGGGAGGGAATCTACTCAAGCATTTTAAATGCTTATGCAAACATTCATTTTTGTTCTAATAACCTAAAATAGGCTATACAGTGCTCCCTTGTTATTTGCAGGAGTTATGTTCTCAATATTGCCCGAAATAGGCAAAATCCATGAAGTACTAAGCTTTATTTTTTTTTTAATTATTATATATGTTTTAAGCAACCCAAGCTTATTCTGAAATTGTAGTCCCGCAGACATTTCTGGAGACCGTGATTTATGTGACTGTAAATACGTATGGCTGCATTTAATTTTTTTAAGCGAACACTACAGGGCGGTGTGACGCCGGTGTGACGCCAAGGACGAGTCAATGGGTAAAACCGTTTGGGTTTAGGGAAGGAGGAGGAGGAGAGTGGGTCGGCCGGTTGGCCCAGTCAATCATTCAGTCAGTCGGACACACGGACGCTCAACAGCCGCCTCCGGCGGCTTTACACGAGAACAGCAGAGGCGTTTGAGATGCAAAAAAGCATGCACAACTGCCTCTTGCGGTTTCGCGAAAACAAAAATTGCACAAATACATACCTCTCGGGACATATTTAGCGGCCTCCAGAAATGTGCGCTTGACTAAGTTTCCAGAATGAACCTGGTTGGTTTTGAGGCTGTGAAACCCTTCATTACACACTTTATAAACTTTTCTCAGTCAGACAGAATTTAAACACTCTCAAAGTTCAAACTTTCTTAAAAAATAGGTCTAGTAATATAAAATAAAGCCAAAGATCAAAACCTGTTGTCAGGCGCAAAAATTCAACACTGTCAACAAAAGGTTCAAAAAGCTTATGGGGATAATGTTGGCATCCAGCGTAATGTTCTTTTTCCTGCCGTCATTGATCCACAAAACTAAAGCACATTCCATCTTTTAGGGGGTCACACACCTGATGCACCGCACACATGAAAATTGGAAGTAACGCAAACTGAAGGCGCACATTTGCATGTCATTTAAAATAATTATTCAGATGGTGATCTGTGGTGCAGCAGAAATATAAATAGTGTCCTCAGTCGTAAACTCAAAAAATAACTCACTGAACAAACTAAATTTAATTGAGAACAGGATTTCCATCCAATAAATTTGTTTAGCACCAACCAAACAAGAAACTATTTACAAAATTAAATGCAATTGAGTTGGTCCAACATTATTATTTTTCAAATAAAAGATTAAATATGTTTGTAAGTTTAAATACGTTTGTATTTTTATTTAACTTAATCTCCGTTACCTTAAACTCTGTCCGTTAACTTAAACTAAAAGTCTGATAATATCATACAAAATGTGTACATTTCAACATTTCTTACTTTTATTTAAAGTTATCCTAAATAAACCTAAAGAGCCATTTTAAGCATATTTCATGAGTTACATGTAAGAGTACTATGAATCAAAGTCATGCTATTTTGATTTATACAACTGTTCTGTGTTGTTTTTGAATCTGTTTGGCTGTTAGTCGTGTGGTAATCTGCAAATAGCAGCACTCGTCCAGCCTCTTCACCCTTCAACCTTGTGTATTACTCTGCCCACATACAGCAACAAGCAGAGGACACTCTACAGTTTGACATAATGCTGCTGTTGGACAACAAAATTCAGTTTAAGGCTTTCTAGTGAAGAATGTAGTTGTTTAGATTGCAACTACGCAGTTTATTTATAAGGATAGTGCATATTTTAAATATTTATAATTTCAGAGAGACAGCGTGTCGACTGCCATTAGCTTGTCATTGAGCAGTCCAAAGATAGTTGATGTTGCTCATCCACAAGATGGCAACAGAGAAAGCATAATAAGTACTTAGAGGAGAAAAACTGCATTATTTGTACCTAATCTGGTAGGGTTTGCTTTGCTTTGCTAAGGCTTTTTCTGAGATAATTATTGTGATCTCACGCTTGCAACAAGAAATACTGGGAAATCTTTGTAGACTGATGGCATTTCATGACGTTCAGCCTTATAAATCTTAAAACATCAGCAAAAATCACTTGTTTTGTTATCACTTTAGACATTACGCTAGAGAATCATTCAAATTATAGCTCCAAAGTGATGTTTGTGAAGTAGCAATGGTTTCTGCTGTTCTGACATCAGCTGCAGATGTGAATGAATGGCGGAAGAAAGTAGTTCCTCATACCAAAGGGTTTTTAGACTCTCGTGTTTGATTTTCTTTTCTATACACACGATTATGTCATTGAACTCAAAGCAGTGGAATATGGCTGTGTGTTGTCACTGGTGGGACACTATATACAATCATACTCATGTTAGTTTACTCATATGCAGTAGAACTACTATAGTCTTGTATCAGTTTGTTGTAACATTGAGGTTACTGAAAGAACATCATTGTATTATAATCTTGGATCTTTGTTCATAGTCATGCCATGGTATATCCACTGAGTAAAGATCACTAGATTCACTTTGTACAAAATTATGTGGACACCCAGATCTACACGGTTAATGTTTAAAAAAGCAAAGAAAAAAAAAGTTTTAAAGAGTGACAGCCCATACCTTTCCGACATACTGCTTTCCAGTTCCTGTCCATTCCTCTAAGAGAAAGAAACTATTCCACATCCATCCTCGTTTAGTGCGGTGTAGAGTCCGTCCATCCCGATCCGACGTGCTAATTCCAGGCACCGGCCGGATCATTGCGCTGCTCCAGCCCAGCAAGCAGAACAACAGGAGGAAAGTAAGTTGATTGATTATCATTGTATCCGATCACTCCTGGAGAGTCCTTGATAAGAAATCAATTAAGAAACAGAGCTCTGCGTCGAAGATACTGCTGAATGGCAGGGCTGACGAAATGGGGCATCTTATCCTTAATTCTCCTCAATTCTGTCTTCTTGAGGCCTGTGACAGATGGAAAAAAAAAGATCTTTAAGAGACCATTCCAATGCAGCAACCTAGCTAAATTACCTGCTCTTAAATTTATGTTAGCTGACTAAAAATCGTGTCGGCTAACTAGAAACTTAATCGTTAGTATAGATTGATTACACAAAGATTAAGTGTTTTTTAGCACCCAGCAGTCACTTGGTGGTCTCTAATTGACGAACCTCACAAGGTTGACCATCTTTAAACATTTACTCTAATAGATTTGCGCTCTCTCCCAAAACCAAACCAAAACCAATATTTTCTCACTGGCGACCAGTCATATATTGACATTTGGTTACTTCCCCTTCCCTTCATTTTGTGGCACTCAGGGTACCCTTTCTGCATTATTTTATAAGTGGCATCCTCTGATGCTTTTGCTTATTCAGATTATGTGTTCCATTTAAGGGTTGTATCTGTAAAATATGAATCGTGTTATAAACATGCACAATTTCAGAAATAATTTGGAGCACCTCTCCACACACCTACCCTAAACTGACCCACTTCTGAAAAAAAAAAAAAAAAAAACATAAATAAGTAGCAGACAAATAAAAGTGGAGACACTTTGCAAAACAAAACAAAAGGCATTGGGTTGCAATCAGTTGCATCAAACTCCTCTAAACTCATATAATGATGTTATCACTTACTTCCATTCGGCAGAATGAACCGTCAACTTCTCTGGCAATTGTTTCACATAGCAGATGCCCTTCTAGTCACACCCCAAACCCTGATAGTTCAACCCACTGTGCTGGAAAACACCCACTTCCACTTATAAACTCTACAGTCAATTTAGTTTATCAAATTCACCTACACCACATGTCTTTGGACAGTGGGGTAAACCGGTGCACTCGGAGGAACCCCACGCAGGCACAGAGAAAACATGCAAACTCCACATAGAAATGCTTTGTGGTCCAGCTGGGATTTGAACCAGCAACCTTCCTGCTCTCAGGCAACCATGCTAACCACTTAGCCATTGTGCCATTCTCAGTATCATTATGTAAAGAATAATTTATAAACAGTAATCTTCGATTTTAATTGCTGAAAACGATGTCTCCCCCCTCACTGATATCCTCCGATTCACAAGATGCTCCCACATTAGCATGGAGCAATCAGTCACAAAATCAGTAAATAGAATTTGACAGCTGAAGCTGACGTAAAACTTTTTTTTTTTTTTTCAGAGGCAATATTTTAATTTGACAACATAAGAGCTGCATGGTAGATGGAGATGGCGATTTTGTCAATTCCTAGCAGAAATACTTTGTGCTGCCCTAGGAAAGATGGAATTTTCATATCTCTCAAGTAAATTGCAGCTGTTGTAGTATCCGCCTGCAATATCATGTGTTTAATGGCAACTGGCTTGGTTTAGTGCTAGTCGTTGGCTTACATGCTCATAAATGTGTCACATTTTGTAGTGTAAGTAAGTAATGTGTAGCAAATGTATCATGTATGGACATACACCCAAAGGTTTTACCACACCACCACCAGTGTGCAGCTTCCACTTGGATGATGCAATGGCAGCCACAGAACAACGGCGTGCTCATCACACACCAGGGGGAGTGGAGAGACAGTGATACAGCCAATTCAGTGGATGGGGATGATTGGGAGGCCATGATGGGTAAGGGCAGATAGAGGGAAATTTGGCATGGACACCAGAGTTACACCCCTACTCTTTATGAGAAATGCCATTTTTAATGACCAAAGACAGTCAAGACCTTAGTTTAACGTTTCATCCGAAAGACAGTATCTCTCACTGACAGCATAGTATCCCCTTCACTATACTGGGGCATTAGGACTCACACAGACCGCAGATTAAGTGCCCCCTGCTGGCCTCACCAACATCACTTTCAACAGCAACCTAGTTTTCCCATGTGGTCTCCAATCCAGACCAGGCTTAGCCCTGCTTAGCTTCAGTGAGTAACCGGTCTTGAGCTGCAGGGTGATGTGGCTGTAAATAAAATAGTTTTGGTTGTTTACTTTAGAAAAACTCACACCCCAATAACGGCAAATTATGTTCAGTTGAATTCATGGTCATATCTATAGTGCCTTTACAATGTAGATAAAGTTCTAGTTAATTGCAACTGGTTCAGTCTAGTTCAGTGTAATGTAAATGTCACTGCTGAAAGCTGAAACACTGAAGAACAAATCCAACAATGCATATTTAATCAATGTGCATTTTGTAATTTAATCATAAAAATGGATGACCCTGCTAATCAAAAAATGACACCAGAGGGTTAACCAGAGCATCATAAACTCTCAGAAATAAAGGTACATGAGCTGTCACTGGGGTGGTATCTTTTCAAAAGGTACAAATTTGTATCTAAAAGGTCCATTTTAAGATGTCAAAAGTATTAGTAGCACTAGTAGTGTTCCTCTTAAAATTTGTAGGTACTAATATATACTTTTGAGGTACCAATATGGACCTATAGGTACAAATGTGTTCATTTTGAAAAGTGACAGCGCGCATACCTTTATCTCTAAGGCATTTACACTGCAGATTTTGATGGTCAATTCTGATTTTGTGACTGTATCAGATTTTATTTATTTAATTTTATTTTTTATGACCTGCTTACATCATCTTTTAAAAGTGACTCGTATCAGATCCGATCGTCTGCATTCACACAGCACACAACAAAGGCGCAATGACCAGGAAAAAAAGAGCGGGCGCTGACAGCTAACAGCTGACAATTAAAGAGTGTTCGTTTCTCTATTCCTGTATATAATCTGTTCGCAGCTTTTGACAAGCTGTTTTACTATAGTTTATGACAGAAAGGTTCTCATTTGTCCATCTTCTTTTGATAAATAGGATTTTTTAAACCCTTAGGCATCTTAAAATATTGCCAACGGCTTGATTTATGCACGTGATGTAGCTGTGCACTAGTTTTATATTAGTTTATATTGGTTACGTGGCGGACATTGTGCTTTCTCGCTCTCGTTAGCATGCTTAAATACCTGTGCTATATGACAATATAAAAGCTGTTTAAGTCCTCGTGTATGAGATTAAAGGTTTCGGACTTTGCTGAAGGCTGTTCTGAATTAAAATTGTCAGACTTGACGTCATTTGCTACGGTTTTTAATGACGCGCAACTCATATTGACAGGTGAAAATCCGATCTACCTGCTTACATTGCGAACACGAGAACACAGATCCGATTCACATCGGATAAATTTCCACACATGAGCAAGGCCTGAATCTGATGTAAGTAAATCGGAGTCCATGCGATTTGTTCCTGCTTACACGTACATGGGCTATATCCGATCTGTGCCATATGGGAGAAAAAAATCGGAATTGAGACACCCGAACAGTTCAGTGTAAATGTGGCCTAAGAGTGTAGAGTGAAGAGAACTGACTGGGATTGAGAATGTGTTGACTCGAAGTGTACCAAAGCCTCTAAACTTCCAACGCTATACCACAAACCAGCATAAAAGAAGGCTGTGGCTCGCCAAAGTGGTCTCTCCTCTAGGACTAGTCCTGATAGGTAATTTGGAGGATGTATGCATAATTTATCGGCTTTTGGAAGTTAATCCTAATAAATCTTTTTTTCCCTCATTTGACAAAAGCCCATTTTCCAGGCGTCTGCTGGAAAAGGCCAGGAAGCCAGGTTAGCCTGACAGGCATTCATTACGGCAGGCGTCTCCAGGGGTCTCGCGAGCAAACGAGGAGCAGATTCATAATGTTGTGGCGTTTTTTGTTTAACGATCTGAATCAAAGAACAGAAAAGAAGGGGAGGCCAGGGGAAAGGGAGGGGAGAAGAAAGAAATAAAACACACACAGTGTCAGTGGGGCCATCTCAACGAACAAAGCGATTCCTTTCTTTGTCTAAGAGCAAATTAGGGCTCTGGTTCTATTTGATGTGACTGAAGCTATGCATGTAAATGAACATTGTCTTGTGAATACGAATCAAATAATTTACTTAATGAGATATGGATGAAGTTAGGAATTATTCACTAGGCGGCTTCGGAGTGCGCAGACTACTGTAATTTGTGGAATCACTGGCTTCGCTAATGCGAGTAATGAATTTTGTCAGCCCCAGCAGAAGAGGCCTTTTGTGGGCCAATCTTCCATTCAGACATATGTTTCAATGCAGCTCAGGGTGAGCAAGCAGGGCAGAACTTTGACATTCTGAAGGTCCTCATGAATTAAACATGATTTTTTTTTTTATTTTCACGAGACCAAGCTGAGCCTTTCACATCCGGTATGAATCATACATTGGCACGAACTGAGGCAGTCTGTGTCTATGTAAGGAAAGTGACGCCTACATTTGATTTTTTTTGGAGTAAAGGGTCGTACAGATCATACAGAAGCATGTAATCAGCAGCTGGCATCGAAAAAACCCACTCAAGTCTCTGGCGTGACCTTGGCGGACAGATCCAGATAAATATCCATCTGTCAGTGTCATGGTCCGCAACCGACTTGATTGATTTAACGCTTTCTATGACACGTTTTCCATCCGTGGTCTCAGCTCAAGGGCGAACGTGGACAAAAGAGTCATAAAAATGGCTTCTGATTCACGCATGTTTTTAAAAGCTTGATGAAGTCTGAGTGTTCGTGGTTCCCGCTTCTTTCAGGAGACTGATTGATTTATTGGAGCTTTCACTGACAAGACATTTAACTATTAATTGAATCCCATGCATCTCCTCTAAAATTTCCTTGAGGAAATAAAAACAAGTGGCTAGAAAATGTTTGCATTTACTAAGTGTAGAGCTGTAGATTATTCATACTGCTGAAGGCTTTCTCAGGAGAAAAAAAAAAAAACTTTAAGAAGTACAAGGCATTTTTCATTTTAGGATTTCTATATTTTATGTACTTGTTTATATTCCATGTATTTTCTGATGAAGTCTGATGAAATGAATTGCAGTTCAACCCGCGAATGCTGCTGAAGAATTTATGTTCTTGCTCCTTCATAGATAGCTTTTTATTTTCCTCAGATTTGTCTTATTGAAGTATTTTCAATGGGTTCTACTAAAATCCGTCAGAAGAAATAA